TGAGTTTCTTAATGGCTCCTTTTTATCTCCACTATTGACTTACTATGCCTCTATTTTTCATTATTAGTGATTTCCCTAGAGTTTACAATAAACATCTTTAATTAATTAGGTTCTATTTTCAAGTAATATCCTACTTCATGTATTGTATAAGGATCTTATGACAGTTTATTCCCAATCCCTCCCTCCCATCCTTTGTGCCATTACCATCAAGCATTTTACTTTTACATATGCTATAAATACATAATACACTGCGTCTCTCTTTACGTTAGTCTCTTAGAACAATTGAAAGGAAGAAAAATGAATTTTATTTTCATATTCATTTATTCCACTTCTTTTACTTTTCATTTTGTTATGTAAAATCCAAGTTTCTACTGGTAGCATATTCCTTCCCCTTAAACAATTTCCAATTTCTTTTAATATTTCCTAGTGCAATATATATACATTTTTTTTAGTGCAGTTCTGTAGGCAATTACTTTTTTTATTTTTGTTTGAGAAAGTATGTCTCCTTCATGTTTCAGAGATATTTTTTCTGGGTATAGAATTATGGATTAGCAGTTTTTTATTTCAGTGCTTTAAAGATGTCACTCTAATGTCTTCTGGCTTACCTGTTTTATCATGAAAAGTCTGCTGTGTTTCTTATCTTTGTTTGTATGTAATGTGCCTTTTTCCTCTTGCTGCCTTTATGATTTTGCCTTGGGTTTTAAACAGTTTAAATATGCTAAGTATAGGGATATTTTTGGTGGTGCTGGTGGTGGTATTGTTTTCCTGCTTGGTTTTTCCTTAGCTTCTTGGCTCTATGGTGGTATTTGTCATTCACAGTGGAAATGTTTGTCAGCCATTATTTCTTTAAATATCCTTTGTCTTGGGTTCTCTCTGGGATTATACTTACACAGATCTTAGGCTATTTGGTATTGCCCCACACGTCTTGGGTATTCTGTTGTGTATCCCCCCCCCAACTCTTTTTTTTTCTTTCAATGTTTCAGTTTGGGTAACTTCTATTGACCCATCTTGATGTTCACAGACTCTTTTCTCAGTTGTGTAAAGTGTACTGATCAGCCCCTTGAAGTCATTCTTCATCTCTCTTACTGTGTTTTTTCATTTCTAGTATTTCCATTTGATTCTTTCTTGTAAATTGATTCTGCTGGAGAGAAATTAATCATCAAGTCTTGCATGGTATCCCCCTTTTCTATTAGAGTATTCAACTTATTAATCAATTATTCTAAATTCCATGTCTGAGAGTTTCAATACCTGTGTCATATCTGAGTCTTGTTCTGTCAAATGCTTTGTCTCTTGTCAACATGTTGGGGGAGGGGGGTTCTTGTCTTTTCTTATGCTAGCACTTTTCTGTTGAAAGCCAGACATCTTGAGTAGGACAGTAAAGACTGAGGTATATCATTTTGATTCTTGGAACTAAGTGTGCCTTACCTTTTGCTAGGTCTTTAGTGTAGGGTTTACATCAGTCTAGTCAGGACTTGAGGTTGGTTTTGGTTTCATTGCTGCTTTGGTTACCCTTAGTGCACTCAGCCTTCAGATTTCACTAGTGATATGTTGTATTTTGCCAGAAGGTTTTTCTCGCTGTCTGCTTCACCCTTTCTTCAAACTCTTGTCCCTCTTCCGCTATTACTTGCAGCTTGTTAGCCTGGCTGTGAAAATGGGAGCAGGAAGGGTGATGTTTTTGTTATTCTAATTAAGCTTCTGTCTTAGGAAGGTATTGTGTCCCTGGATCTTGAAAAGGGAGTGACCTCCACTAGCTGTAGTTCTGGGCTCAGCATGTGTTCCTGCCCCTCCCCCAGGGAAAAAAAGGGTTTTTTATGTTTTTCTTATTTCCTCCTTCCACCTCTAGCTTTACTGGGGAAAGACCCCAGTACCCTAAGGCCAACAGTGTTTGTTGCCCTGCCCTCCCAACTTAAGCTTTTGTTCTTTAGTATAGATAGGAGAGAAAGATTTATGAAGGACACTTTCTCGGAATTCTTGCCAACCTTTTTATGAGCACCAGGTTGGGTCCCATGGAAAGGGGTCTACAAGTACATTTGAATTTCCCTTATATCTGTAGCCCCCAGGTCTCTAAATATTCTTTCACTAGGCTACATTCTTCCTTCACCAATTTATTAACAATTTTAAGCTGAATTCTTTTTACTGAAGTCCAGCTGAATCTGCCCCAGTGGAAGTCATGTCCATTTCTCCTTTATGCACCCAGCTGTCCTTAGATTTGGAGTTAGCTGGTTGCCATGTGACTTCTGCTCTCTAGTGGGTTAAAGGAAAGTTGTGTATCTGCAGTTTGTCTAGCTTGTTGTTATTGTTGTAATGATAGCACCACACTCTCCTGGAAACAGAAACCAGAAATGTCCATTCATTTTTGGAAAATAAGTACTGAAAGTATGTCCAGGCTGGTTTGAGATGGTGTCTGTATGTTTTCAGGTTAAAAGATAGGAGATCCTTTTCAAGGAAAGAAAGAATTTGCTGGCTTATTTTGAAAAGCACTTGCTGTTCCTGATATTGCCACCAGAGGGCAAGCCGTTACATCATTACATGTCTCACAGGGTGAGGAGGCCAGGTTTCCAATTGGGAAAAGTCAATGTGTAAAGTGGGAAGCAGAGGCATCCAAAGCAGCTAATGCTTGCAGGTAGGGCCTGTTCTCAAGGCCTTCCTGGACTGTTCAGCTACGGATTGGGCTCTCGGTCCCTCCAGCCCTGGCCCTCGCCCACATAGCTGTACCCTCTGCAGAGAAGATGCCTTTTGTGTTGCAGTGTCCCTAGAACCTCTCCGAGTACCTGACCCCTACCCCACTAACATTAGTGCTGAGAGGCTGCCAAGACCCTGCTAGGTGGTCAGGCTCTAGCAGCTTCAGTTGAGTCCAACCTTCTGCTCAGCAGGGGGCAGCCCAGGGAGTCAGTTCCAATCCAACCATTGAGGATAAAAATTCCCAGGAGCCCCATGGTAGGGAGTTGAGGCTGAGGGCCATGTAGGTCTGTACTACTTTAGTTGGTTTACCTGGAACAAACAAACCAAAATCATAGTGAGAAAAGTTTGGTTCTCATGCAAATAAAGTCTAAAACAGGTGTTCCTGATTGGCAAGCAGATCTTCTCCAACTGGGGGAGTCAGAAGCTCACCCCTGCCATCTTTTCAGCATACAGGAGGATGGGGAGGGGTGTGGGGAGAAGGCCGCCCACACCTAACCATACTGCCCAGCAACTCCCACGGTGCTTCTGCTCTCATGCCGTCCGTGCAACCAGGCGCCTGTTAAGTGCTGGGGGCTGGGGAGTGTAGCCGTGCTGGGCAGACACCTCCCAATAGCACCCCTCCCCTGGAAAGGGAGTGGACAGCCATTCCCATATTGCCCAAGTTGTACCCACAGTCATTACTTTAAACAGATTACTGCTCTAGGACAATATTTTCCAAATTTGCATGATTTTAAAAACCACAGAGGATGCTTAATTAAAATATAGTCCTTGGCTCCTTTTTCTGGACACTCTTGTTTGGCCATCTGGATGGGGGCCTGGAATCAGTGCTTTATCAAGCACCCCAGGGAGTTGTGCTGCCCTAGAAAGTGTCTACAGAAGGATCCACTGCCATCCCCACCCCTTCCCAGTGGATGAGAAGCCAGGTCAACTCTCTCTCTGCCTTTGTGTTGGGTTGTGGAATTGTCGGACAGGCTTCTGGGCATGGCCCAAGGGAGGCAGGTTCTGAACCAGCCCTGCAGCCCTCCTCCCTGAGTGTGACTACCCTGCAGCTCAGCCCTGGGAGGGGCGGCCTGTGTGTCATGGCCATGTCAAGACAGAACCCAGTTGCCCTTGACCAACCAAAGCAGAGCACAGTACTGCCAGTCCCCAGCCACTTTAAACAGAAACACCACCACCCCCCCCGCCCCAGCAAAGTAGTGTTTCCTTTATATGGGAGTAGAGGATTATTTGTGCTCATATTCTCTCCTTAGCAACACTGGAGGGCAGCAGTGAGTCGGCGTTTGCAATTTTTTATTAGAAAGTCCACTTTTAATGGTATTCAGTCATAGATTTTATTTACTTATTTGCCTTTTTGTTCTTGCCGTGACACCCTTGCCGTGAATCATGGGAAATGACACCAGGCTCATGGCCACCAAGGGGGGGGGGCCCCAGGGGGAGGGAGGGGCAGAGTGAGGAGGCGGAGGTAGGGTAAACCCACCGGAGGAGCAAGCTGTTCAATTCTCACTGGGCACTGGGTCCCACAGCAGCTCGGAAGCTTCTAGCAGATCCAGGCAAACCCTGTGAACACCCCACTCCGCCCCAGCCTTTCTGAGATGGGCCAAGACTTCCCCCAGGTGGGCGTTTCCCTCAGGAGTGTTTGTGGTGAATGGGTCCCTGGGGGAGGTCCTCCTCGCTGCAGTTCCCGCCTACACGTTACTTCCTCGGAAGCCGCCCCGACCCGCCCTAGAAGGTCTTGCCGTAGCTCCCCACGAGTCTGCTGTTTACTTTTCAGGGTACTTACCACCACCTGAGATTATGAGATTTTGTTGTTGTTACCCGTGAGCTCCCTGTGGGAGCTCCCACCCACGCCCCTCCCCGAACGGATGCAGAATTATTGAATGAGCTCCCAAAGGAGCATATGGGCAGGCAGCCCTTACTTGCCTAATTTGCACACCGTGAGGTGACCAAGAGCCCGGCTTGGGTCCTTCCTCTGAAATTACAGAAACAGCCACAGCCTTTTTTGTCTGCTGCCCAACCGCGGTACCTGCCTTCTGACAGCCCCAAGTCGTTAGCAGAGTGCCGGTGATGTCTCCAGCCGCTCTTCCACGTCCACAATAAATACCAAGTATTCTAAACTATCAGTAGTGGTTTTGACACCTGTGGTCTTAACGCTCCTGCTGGCACAGATGGTCTGTGTTCGTCTCCGTTCGGTTTCCTTAATTTAGGAGACCCCTGGGCTTGGGATTCCCTTTCCTGGCCTCCCTGGGGGCTGCTGGGGCCTGGAGCCTCTCGGCCCGCCCGTGGGGCACCTGGCACCGCGTCTCTCTCTTCTGTTCCAGCCGTGATCCCCCTGACGGATTCGGAGCACAAGCTGCTGCCTCTGCACTTTGCAGTGGACCCCGGGAAGGACTGGGAGTGGGGGAAAGACGACAACGATAACGCCCGGCTGGCCCAGTGAGCCCCTCCCCCGCGCCCCTCCCCCAACGCCCTAAAGGGCGGCGGTCGCCCGGTTTCCCGGCGTTTTCCTCCTCCTGGGACAGCTGGCGGGCGTGCGGGCGGGGTGCGTGCGGGCGAGCGCGGGCCCGCTGCGGCGCGTTTCACTCGGTGTTCTTCTCTCACCAGCCTGATCCTGTCGCTCGAAGCCAAGCTGAACCTTCTGCACAGCTACATGAATGTGACGTGGATCCGGATCCCCTCCGAGACCCGGGTGAGCCTGGCGTGCGCCCAGCCCCGACCAGCTGGTTGGGTCCTGGCCGCTCACTCGCCGCCGGCGCGGGCGGGGGCTGGGCTCCCCGGCGCTCGCCCGGCCGCCCACCCGCCCTGGCTCTGGCCAGAAGTGGCTCGGGTTTAGCTGGCGCGTGTGTGCACGCGTGCTTGCGTGCTCTATGTAGGCGCGCGCTCCGGGTAGGGGATGGTGGTTGGGGATTTTTTTTTTTTTCTTTTGGTCCCTTTATTTTTCTCCAGAAGGAGAGGAATAAACACACCCACTCAAAAAACAAACCGTAGGCAAGTCACAACACAAAACTATCTCTGCCGAGATCGGAACACGATGTGCTGCAGCGGAGCGAATTAATTATAAACTGTGTGGGTCCTTGGAAAAGTCAGGGAACCGGGAGCGCAATTCCTCAGCGCCCCCTCCTTCTCTCCTCCTTCTCCGTCCTCTGGGAGGGCAGTGAGAACAGGGGCTGCCCGCCCCCACGCGCCCCCTCCCTCCCAGGGAGAGTCGGCTCTGTCCCTGCTTCCGGATGCTAAGGATTCACTTTAAGTGACTGATGTTTTTGTTATCTCAATAGTGAACCCTCAGTGAAAGGGACTGTAAAAACAAAAAGCCCCCCTCAGACACCAGTAGACTTGGCCATTGGCCATGCCGTGGGGCTCATAAGCAATATCAAAGGAGTGACTGGAAGAAGGCAGTAGGGCGGTGCCTGGCCTAGAGTCGGTCGCTGGGCTATGCCAGGCACTGCTCAGGATGTTTTCGTATACCAGCCTTTACCTGTATTTAATCTTCATAGGGCTCCTGGAGGCAGGTACTGATATCCCATTTTACTGAGGACACAAGGGACAGTTGGTGGCAGCCTGGCTCCAGAGTTCTCCCTCTTAACCTCCACAGTGACCTGTCAACTGCCTGGATGATGCCAGTGTTGCTGGGGTGTTCTTTCCTAGCACACACACATGGTGTGAAGGTAGCAGCTCTGGATCTAGAATCAGGAGGCTCTTGGGCCTGGACACAGCTCTCCACTGCACTGAGCAGGACTCCTTGCCAAGCCATGGTGGCCCCCATGTCAGATTCAGGGCCTGGCAACGACCCTTCCAGCCGGAGGACATTTCAGCCAGGGCTCCTTACTCACTGGGCTCCCACCAATGGGCACTGCCAGCACCAAGCACACCCCCCTTTCCTGGGCCAAACCCCTGAGCTTCTGCCCCTCTGTGTCACTGACAAACCATTTTGAGACCTCTACCTCCTTCCAGACCCAGGACAGGGTGGGAAGAGGAAGGAAGGAATTTCAGGCTGGTAGGTGGTGAGGGCTGGCTTCTGCTTGCTTCTGGGGACTTGGCTGCAAGAGGTCTCTTGGACCCCTCTCCTGGACCTGCCTGGGGAGGGAAGGGACAAAAATAAAATGACAGAACAATAGAGCCTTCTCCCAGGCTCTTCCCCTAGAGGCCAGGAAAAGCCCATTTAGGGGGAGCACCAGTTCCTGCCACTCGGCTTCTAGTATGAGGTCCCTGGTGTTCACCCAATGATGCTGTCTGAATTCTCCCTCAAGCAGGAACCTCCACAAGGCAGCAGTAGGTTCCACTCATCGCCTTTCTCAGGCTCTCCACCTACCCCATGGTCCTGACCAGGTTCCACACTGGCCTTGCCCTCCTTACTGGCTGATAGTGGGCCTTGTCCAAGGTGTTCACAGAGAAGTTCCCTCCTCACACCCTAGGTCCCCTTTTTCTGGGAATGGTAACATCTTTTCTGCTAAGTCCAGGTCCTATTTCAGAATCCTCACTTTAACACTCCCACTGTCAATCTGAGAAAGGAACCCCTAGAGTAAAATGGTCATCCCCAGAACGAAGAGTATTTTTGTTGCAACGTGAGAGCAAGATGTCTATCCCCTGCCTGGAACAAATAGGTGAGACACCTTTGTAGGACAGACACCTACAGATGCAGGTGAAGTGTGATCCTTACCAGAAGGCCTCTCGCTCTAGAGGCCGGCCGGGACCTGTGTCTGGTCATAGACCAGCCTAGCCAGGGTTAGAAGGGCAGAGTCTGGGCATGGTTAAGTCTAAAATGTACAGAGGCTCTGGAGTTCAGAGCCAGGTGGGTATCTGCACCTTGCCCAAACTCACCGCCTCGGGGTTCCAGGCTGCCAGCAACCTTAGCTCACCAAAAAGGCATCCTGGATTGGGGCGGTGAGACCCCAGGGCCCCAGTATGGCAGCCTGGGAGCTGGGGTGGTCCGCCTTTGTTGGTCCCACGTGGGGACGGCTCATCTCTAACCTCCTTCCTTCCCTGACCTCCCTCTCCCGCTACAGGCACCTCTGGCACAACCGGAATCCCCGACAGCCTCAGTGGGGGAGGACGTGCAGTCCCTGGCCGACTCCCTGGACTCGGACCGGGACTCGGTGTGCAGCAATTCCAACAGCAATAATGGCAAGAACGGCAAGGACAAGGAAAAGGAGAAGCAGCGCAAGGAGAAGGACAAGACCCGCGCGGACTCTGTGGCCAACAAGCTGGGCAGCTTCAGCAAGACGCTGGGCATCAAGCTAAAGAAAAACATGGGCGGCCTGGGCGGCCTGGTGCACGGCAAGATGGGCCGTGCTAACTCCGCCAACGGCAAGAATGGCGACGCACCCGAGCGCGGCAAGGAGAAGAAGACCAAGTCGCGCAAGGGCAGCAAGGAGGAGTCGGGCGCGTCAGCGAGCACGTCGCCGTCGGAGAAGACCACGCCGTCGCCCACGGACAAGGCGGCCGGGGCGTCGCCGGCCGAAAAGGGCGGCGGGCCGCGGGGCGACGCCTGGAAGTACAGCACGGACGTGAAGCTGAGCCTCAACATCCTGCGCGCCGCCATGCAGGGCGAGCGCAAATTCATCTTCGCCGGCCTGCTGCTCACCAGCCACCGGCACCAGTTCCACGAGGAGATGATAGGCTACTACCTGACCAGCGCGCAGGAGCGCTTCAGCGCCGAGCAGGAGCAGCGGCGCCGCGACGCCGCCGCGGCCGCCGCCGCCTCTACGGCCAAGCGGCCGCCGCGCAGGCCAGAGACCGAGGGCGCGCCGGGCGCCGAGCGCGCCTCGCCGGGCCCGCCGGCCGGGCCGCCCACGCAGCTGGTGCTCAAGCTCAAGGAGCGCCCGAGCCCCGGGCCGGCGGCGGGCGGAATTTCAGGCTGGTAGGTGGTGAGGGCTGGCTTCTGCTTGCTTCTGGGGACTTGGCTGCAAGAGGTCTCTTGGACCCCTCTCCTGGACCTGCC